AATGTTACGTGTAAGGCCTCCAAACGATTACAACCTCCGCCAATAGATGGCGCTTTCGCCTGTTTCCCTTCTCTAGCTGATGTGGGAGTCGCCGACTACTGTAGTCCCGTTTCCTGGGGAGGTTAACTGCAAATACACTTTTATGTTGGCCCCAGGATGTAATATAATGTAAATACCCATTGTTATTTATCTCATTTAAGTGTAATGTTTAGTAGTGGATGACAATAAAAGTAAGTGCTTCAAGTCTCCGTGCCGCCTTCTGTCGTTACTCTCGCCATTGCCATCATCGCCAGGCTGCTGCTGCTGCTACTCTTCTGGTAAGTCTCTCGTGTCCCCCCACCAGTGGTAAGGCCGAGAGATACTGCCAGAGGAAGGGAGTTTCCACTGGAGAGGTGGAACTCAGGACGTCTTTGGGTGGCCTGCGGGTAAAGCTTCAGGGAAGAACAACAGGGGCCTAAGTAGGTGATCCACGAAGGAGGAAGCGGCGTTGTCGCAAAGAACCGGTAGGGTACAGACGCGACAATATATACTCGTATATCCAAGGATAAGGCACAATTTGGTTTATAGATTATAAACACAAGGTAATAATAACAAATCCAAGGATAAGGTACAATTTGGATTATCTATATATATATATATATATATATATATATATAATTGAATGTCTGTCTGTCTGTACTCTATAGATTCAAAACCCATACAACCAATCGCGTGAAATTTTGGGATATTATTAGGCATATCCCCGGGAAGGTTTTTGAAAAATAATTTCTTAAATATCTTTAATATCCTTAGAGTTATTTGCAGATTTGTAGATTTAACTCGAAAGCAGCGCCCCCATTGCGACGATGATAACAAGTTTGTTTATCTATAAATTTTATTATTACTAAGTTTATTATCTTAAAGATTATTTATCAAAAGTAAGATTTTCTACCTATTAATTGCGCACAAGTCAAAGTTAGTTTTATCATTTATCTACAACATATATATTGGGAGAATAGATAAAATGATGATTTTGTAATGTAGAAAATTAGGAAAGACAAAATTCAGGATGACACGGCAATTTATTTGAGACAAGAATAATGATACAATTCCAAGGCAAGATACTATTCCTTTAACTTCCAATTACCGAGGGAACCAATTAATATTGATTTTATTCAACTTATCGAGTATTTTTCAAGGGACCGGAAAAAAATGTTTACTTTATCGAGATTCAAATTTACGAGTTTCAAATTATAAAAATATATATATTATTTTTTTTATATAAGTTTACTATCCGAATGACCTGGGCAACGCCCGGGTTTTACCCGATTAAATGTTTTTATTCAAATACTATTCGTTACAATTATAAATTGGCGGCGTGGATGCCACTCTTGTGAAACGTCCCGCTCCAAACTTTGTGTCTGAGAAGCGATATTTTTATAGAAAGATAATCTGGCTTTTGTTTTCTGCTCGAATGAATGTTCTTCTGTTAGAATTTTGTTCATACATACTAAAAATGAACTGGCTTCACCCGTGGTCTCTGCTTTTTGGAATTTTTCCCGATATAATTTTGTATCTGATAATCTTACATGATACAGCGATATCGTCATAATCATTTTCTGACTAATAATATATAGTTTTAATAATTGATTTATATATTTTTAAAATAGCCTATCGTCTTCCCCGTATTTTTTTTACCTATGTATGGAAATTTTGGTTTGAATTAGTGAACTACTGCGAATTTGTATACCGGACATACAAACCAACAAACAAACAAACAAACATACAAACATTCATTTTTATATATATAGATAGAAGATATAATATAAATGAGTTTTAAAAATTGTTTAAAAAAATGCATCAGCCGGGAATCGAACCCTGGCCGCCCGCGTGGCAGGCGAGCATTCTACCACTGAACCACCGATGCTTTAAAAAAATGGCCATATTTAGGTATTCATTCCATTCCGGATTAGTCCGCGTAAAAAAAGTTTTTCAAATGAAAAAAAGAAATAGCCAAAAATACTAATCAAAATGCAGCCGAAAATTTTCCTCAGGTTTATAAAAAGCGACATGCAAAATTTGGTACCAATTGGTTTAGTAGTTTTTGAGTTTATCGCGAAACAGACAGACAGACAGAAATTGACTTTTATATACACTGCGTGTCATTGAAAATGGAACACCAAGAAATAGTGGCCAGAAAATTATGCAAATTTCAGGGTAGACGCGCCTAACCGAGTGGTGCAAATGATGTAAAATGCGCAGCTCTCGTGCGCACATGGAGTAAGATATAAGGGAAGGAACTTGCAGAAAGGACAGTATTTGTGTCGTTATTTCTTCAAGGAAATTCATTGTAGAAATTTTGTTCTTGTGTCAAAAGACACGTGTAATAACAGAGAATGCCAGGTCATCGTAAACGGAGACAGTTCAAGCAGACAGACGCTTTTACGAGGGGCATGGTGATCGGACTGAAAAGGGCAGGTTGGTCCATACGTCAAATCGCAGCTGATACACACCTTGGCGCGTCCACGGTGCACCGACTGTGGAAAAGATGGTTGGAACAAGGAAATGTGGCAATTTATAGGAATGTCGGTGCAACTAGAGTGACGTCAGCACGTGTGGATCGGCGTATCCTTCGACAAGCAGTGGCGGCCCCACAAGCCACTTGTACCGCCATCCTGCAACATGTGCAAGACACCCTAGATCATTCCATCTCGACCAGAACCATTTCCCGTCGATTGGTTGCTAATGGCTTGCACTCATGCCGTCCGCTAAGAAGACTGCCATTGACCCCACCGAATAGGCGCCAACGTTTGGAATGGTGCCGGGCTAGATCGACGTGGATGACGGAATGGCACAGGGTCGTGTTCTCAGATGGGTCGCGTTTCTGCTTGTCCAGTGATAGTCGCCGTGTACGCGTGTGGCGTCGACGTGGAGAAAGGTCCAATCCGGAAGCAATTGTGGAACGCCCCACCGTGCGACAACGTGGAATCATGGTTTGAGGCGCAATCGCGTATGATTCCAGGTCACCTTTACTTCGTATTCAGGGCACTATGACGGCTCAACGATACGTTGATGATGTGCTGCGACCGGTGACACTCCCCTACCTTCAGGGGGTACCCAATGCCCTTTATCAGCAGGATAACGCCCGACCGCACACTGCTCGCATTAGCCAACAAGTTCTGCAAGATGTACAGATGCTTCAATGGCCACCGTACTCTCCTGATCTCTCACCAATCGAGCACGTCAGGGACATCATTGGACGCCGTTTGCATGCCTTGCCACAGCCGCGTTCAGAAGACGAACTGTGGCAAATGGTTGAGAGGGAATGAAGAGCCATCCCTCAGGACGCCATCCGTACTCTGATTGACTCTCTACCTAGACGTGTTGCTGCGTGCATCGCTGTCCGCGGTGGTCCTACTTGCTACTAAGCCGACGCCGTTCTCGCTTTGTATTATGACTATCATTTTGAAATAAAGATCACTTATTGTTCGTCCCTGTCTCTCTCTGTCTGCCGAGTTTCATCACTTTCTGACCATAATTTCTTGGTGTTCCATTTTCAATGTCACGCAGTGTATATAGAGATAGAGAATTGTTTTAACAAATTTTCGTTAGACAAACCTTTACTCGAGTAAAACCCGGGCGAAGCCGGGTAGATCCGCTAGTTGATTATAAACACAAAAGGTAAAATAAGACCAAATCTAAGGATAAGGTACAATTTGGATTATCTATATATATAAAAATCAATGTTTGTATGTTTGTTTATTTGTATGTCCGGTACAAATTCGCAGTAGTTCACTAATTCAAACCAAAATTTCCATACATAGGTAAAAAAATACGGGGAAGACTATAGGCTATTTTAAAAATATATATAAATCAATTATTAAAGCTATATATTCAAATTATTCTTTTTAGCTCACGAACAGCGCCCTCTATCAAAGATTAGATTAAATTATGCTGATGCAAACAAATAGATAATGCTAATAACAAACAATTATTTAAAAAAATCTTATCTTAATATATATCACTCGGGTAGATATGCACACGGGTCAATCCCGGGGCGAAGCCCGGGTCACCCGTCTAGTAGATTATAAACACAAGGTAATAAGACCAAATCCAAGGATAAGTCACAATTTGGATTATAGATTATTAACACAAGGCAATAAGACCAAATCTAAGGATAAGGTACAATTTGGATTATAGATTATAAACACAAGGTAATAAAACCAAATCCAAGGATAAGTCACAATTTGGATTATATCACCTCAACCAAAAAGGTAGTGGTATCTACAAGAGCTACATGGAGTTACACGTTGCTTTTATGACATCACACTAAGACAGTAGTATCTACAAAGGTTATATAGACTTACCCGGTATCATATGATATCTCTCCAAAAAAACAGAAGTATCTACAAAGGCTTTATAGAGTTACATTTCGCCATATCAACCAAAAAGGCAGTGGTATCTACAGAGGCTGTATGGAGTTACACGTTGCTTATATGGCATCACTCCATAGACAGTTGTATATACAAAGGCTGTATAGATAACATTTTGCCATATCACCTCAACAAAAAAGACAGTTGTATCTACAAAGGCTGTATAGAATAAAATTTGACATATCACCTCAACCAAAAAGACAGCTGTATCTACAAAGGCTGTATAGATTACACTTTGCCATATCACCTCAAACAAAAAGGCAGTGGTATCTACAGAGCCTGTGTGGTGTTACACGTTGCTTATATGACATCACCCAAAAGGACAGTGGTATCTACCAAGGCTGTATAGATTACACTTTGTCATATCAACCAAAAAGAGAGTAATGTCTAACTAAGCTGTATAGAGTTACATTTCACCATATCAACCAAAAATATAGTAATATCTACAGAGTAACTGAATGTTACAGGGTGACAGCGGCTAACCTCTAGTTAAAATAAAAAGTTATCAGAGTCATCAACAATCAATAATTCTGTCACCGTTTGCTTTGGTGAATAGAATAAATACCCAAATATGGCCATTTTTTATAAGCATCGGTGGTTCAGTGGTAGAATGCTCGCCATCCACGCGGGCACGCGGGCGGGTTCGATTCCCAGCCGATGCATTTTTTTTTTTTTTACATTTTTTAAAACTCATTTATATTATTAAATATATATATCAAAGGATAAGGCACAATTTGGTTTATAGATTATAAACACAAGGTAATAAGACCAAATCCAAGGATAAGGTACAATTTGGATTATCTATATATATATAAATGAATGTTTGTATGTCCGGTATACAAATTCGCAGTAGTTCACTAATTCAAACCAAAATTTCCATACATAGGTAAAAAATACGGGGAAGACGATAGGCTATTTTGAAATATATATAAATCAATTACTAAAACTATATATTTTTAGTCAGAAAATGATAATGACGATATTGCTGTATCATGTTTGATTATCAGATACAAAATTATATCGGGAAAAATTCCAAAAAGCAGAGACCACGGGTGAAACCAGTTCATTATTTTGTACGCAGGAACAAAATTCTAACAGAAAAAACATTCATTCGAGCAGAAAACAAAATCCAGATCATCTTTCTATAAAAATATCGCTTCTCAGACACAAAGTTTGGAGCGGGACGTTTCACAAGAGTGATATCCACGGCGCCAATTTATAATTGTAACGAATAGTATTTGAAAATCAAAATAATATAATTTTCAAATATCGTTGTGAAAATTTACATATTTATTTTTATATTTTAAAAACACAAAGTTTGGAGCGGGAAGTTTCACAAAAGTGACATCCACGGTGCCAATTTATAATTGAAACAAATAGTATTTGAATAAAAACATTTAATCGGGTAAAACCCGGGCGTTGCCCGGGTCATTCGACTAGTTGATTATAAACACAAGGTAATAAGACCAAATCTAAGGATAAGTACAATTTGGATTATAGATTATAAACACAAGGTAATAAGACCAAATTCAAGGATAAGGTACAATTTGGATTATTGATTATAAACACAAGGTAATAAGACCAAATCTAAGGATAAGGTACAATTTGGATTATTAAAATATACATTTATCAGAGTCATCAACATTCAATAAATAATTCTGTCACCGTTTGCTTTTGTGAATGGAATAAATACCCAAATTTGGCCATTTCTTATAAGCATCGGTGGTTCAGTGGTAGAATGCTCGCCTGCCAAGCGGGCGGCCCGGGTTCGATTCCCGGCAGATGCATTTTTTTTACAATTTTCAAAACTCATCTATATTATTATTATTAAAATATACAAGTATCAGAGTCATCAATTCTGTCATCGTTTGCTTTTGTGAATGGAATGCTTTTACGTAATATACGTAAAATACGTAACAAATATGACTGAAATTTTAGCAGTATGTATAGTAGAATCTGGAAAAACTTATATTGAATATTTCAGGTCTCTATCCCGAATTTTCTTCGAGTTATTTGCAAATTTGAGTTGGAAATTTGCTCTTTCGCTCGTAAGCAGCGCCTCTAGCGGTGAAGATGGGAGGTAATATCAGCTGACCTAATGTACATGTAAAACATGTTTTAACAGGACATAGAAAAAATATGGAAGAGATATTTGTCGCATTTTTAGCCAAGAAAAATTGAAATTGACAGGTTCTGGGCAAAAATAGTTGTTTTTTTTTTAAGTCAGAAAATGATTATGAGAATATTGCTGTATCATATTTGATTATCAGCTACAAAATTATATCCGGAAAAATTCCAAAAAGCAGAGACCACGGGTGAAGCCAGTTCATTTTTAGTATGTATGAACAAAATTCTAACAGAAAAACATTCATTCGAGCAGAAAACACAAAGCCAGATCATCTCTTTATAAAAATATCGCTTCTCAGACACAAAGTTTGGAGCGGGACGTTTCACAAGAATGACATCCACGGCGCCTATTTATAATTGTAACGAATAGTATTTGAATAAAAGCATTTAATCTGATAAAACCCGGGCGTTGCCCGGGTCATTCGGCTAGTATATATATACAAAACTACGTATATTGAAATAGTATAAATGACTTCAGTTCTAAACTCTCGCAGAAGTTTCAGCACTTTAATCTACCAGACCAATTCACTCTTGTATTTCACTGAAGTGCTCGTATCGTTTACAATTTTGAAGAATTGGTAGTTAAGGAAAGGGGATCGATTGAAGAATAGTACACATAATCAAATTTATACATAACCGAATATAGCATTGAACATTTTTTTTTTCTTCAATGGCCCCGGTTCTTGCACAAGCCCGACCTCACTAGTGAGTACAATTTTTCAAACAGCTATCTAGCAGCTTGTGAATGCAACGTGGTACACATACGGTAGAATCAGCCGCCAACTACCATAATTACCATGGCCTGTAACGCATGTGTTGCACTTGTAATAAGTGTGTGTGTGAAAATAAATTATAATAATATTTAATTTTTAATTAAAAAGGCATATATTGGATCAAAATTTCATTTATTTTACCAATATTTCAGTTGGCTGAACGCCATATATATAATATTATATTATTAAAAATGGCATATCCTGACCAGGAGCACATGTGCTTTTCAGAAGGCAGAGCGCCATCTGGTGGAACAGAAATCAACTAAACATTGATTTAGCCTGTTCCCTGATATTTGGCCAACCCAATTTCTTGATAAATCAAGAAAAGCCATCCACGAACGCGTTTCGCGCTTTTGGCGCTCGTCAGCGTGGAGTAGGCTGAACCATTGCGACCAAAAAATATTTTTTGATCCCAATGGCTTCTCGAAAAACCAAGAAATGGATATTTAAGGCCAAACTTGCGTAAATACGCTTAGAACATTTAAAAACGAAAGAAAAAAATAAAAGATAAAAAGATCAGGTGTTGAAATCAATTATTAAAAATGGCATATCCTGACCAGGAGCACATGTGTTCAGCCTACTCCACGCTGACGAGCGCCAAAAGCGCGAAACGCGTTCGTGGATGGCTTTTCTTGATTTATCAAGAAATTGGGTTGGCCAAATATCAGGGAACAGGCTAGATCAATGTTTAGTTGATTTCTGTTCCACCAGATGGCGCTCTGCCTTCTGAAAAGCACATGTGCTCCTGTGGTCAGGATAAGCCATTTTTAATAAATGATTTCAACACCTGATCTTTTTATCGTTTATTTTTTTCTTTCGTTTTTTTATAATATTATATTTTTGAAAATAGAGCAATCCATTGATAAATCTTTAATTAAAAATCATATATTGGATCAAAAAATAATTTATTTACCAATATTTCAGCTGGCTGAACGCCAACCTTTATCAAGGTGTTATAACATTTTAAAGTGTGTCAACAACAAACTCAGCGCCACATAACGTCAACAGCATTAAGTTTTAAAAAATATATTTTGTTATATCCAATGGGGAGAAAAATTTGATAAATATACAGGGTGATCCAAAAGTCCCGCACAACTTTAAAAATTAATAACTCCGCGTATATTTGCGCTAGAGCAATGCGGTAAACACCATTGTGTTCAGGATGCAATGGGATTTTTTATGGCAAATAATGAAAAATTCGAAATTGATTTTAGTTACAACTTTATTCACTAGATGGCGCCCTACCAGAATCAGCGATTCAGCGGCCAAATTGTTTGATAAATTGGAAAATATAACTGAACGACACGTATTTTTACTTTTTGAATACCAGGAAAGAACCCTAATAATATCAAATGGTAAATTAATAAAACACCATTTCGCCAAAAGTTAGAAGAAATGGTTAACGATTTTTAAATACAATCTGAGATATGTAAAATAGGTACATGCAAATTAAAACATGTAGCAAAAAAAAACTGATATTTTAGATACGGTTTGCTGGAATCCTCTCAGCTATTTATATTTTGAAAATAATAATTTTCATTTTTTTTTAAATTCAACTCTCTCTCAGTATCGATTATATTTATTTTAATTCATTTGAATAATATATTTATCTATCTCTGATGATTTATTTTACTCTGGAATGCCGTTGTTGTTTTTGTCGTGTCCAATAAAGAGCCTCAGATTCTTTTCGTTTGGCCAACAAAAAATGTCCAATTTATATACACATATATTCTTACATAATGAGACTTTAAAGAATGCAAATAATCTTCATCTATTTACATACACAACACATCTCCCCCCTTAATAATACTCCAGTCGGTCTGGGGTTTCCTGGCTCTCTGAGGTCTAGGACTGCGGACGGGCACTTGCACAGCGGCAGCCTCCGGTTTAGGAGTGCAAGAGGGCACGTGCACAGCAACAGGCCCTGGTATAGGAGTGCAAGAGGGTACGTGCACAGAAGCAGTCTCCTCCTTGTTTCCTGATGTAACCTCTGGAACCTCCTCTTCACTTTATTTCTGACTTCCACCTACAGGCTTCTCTCCTGATGTTCGAGGAAGTATCAAATTTCTTGTCTCCACTTGTTTCTTTCTCACAGGTCGCAATTGATTGATATGCCTCTTATACACGACGCCCTCGCAACTTATAAGGTAGTGACGGAAGTTTTACCGTTCAGGTCCAGTTGCATAGTTGCGGAAATTAACCTCGCAACCTGTAGTAAACTGCTCCTGCCTTCTTACGGCCTCATGAAATACCTCTCGCGGATTTCTCATTTTGGTATTAAATTCGAGAATCTAAAATTCTCTTCATTAACAGTTCCGCCGGGGAATTCCTTTATTACAGTTTGGGGAAATGCTCTATGAGCAAATAGGAAACTTTGTAGATTCGTCTCTAAATCATCCTTCCCATTATTCTTTCTCAAAAGGTTTTTAAACTCTCTTACATATCTCTCAGCTAAACCATTTGTACTAGGATTATACGGACTGGTCTTAGTGTACCGTATACCATTCATTTTAGTAAATTGCTCGAATTCACCGGAGACAAACTGTCTTCCGTTATCTGTAACAAAATATTAGGGCAATCCAATTCTGGCGAGAATTTCTCTAAGATGACTTATAATCGTTTTTCTGGTAATATCTTTGATGATAAAAATTTCTATCCACTTTGAGTATGCGTCCACGAGAACCAAAAACATTCTTCCCATGAACGGACCCGCTAGATCAAGATGAAGTCGATGCCACGTTTTTCGGGCCAAGTCCATTCCG